AAAAACAATATGATTTTCCTTTATAGATTTCATTATGTGAGCGAGCTAAGCGATTGTCCGCGCTGCTGTCCCCGCAGTCCTGACATAAACGAGCATCTGCACGCTGCTGAAGTTATAAAAAGACACTGTTTTAAATGTATTGTAATATTTTTACTGAAGCGTCATAAGATTAATCTCCAATATGCTATCCAATAACTGTGCTCAGACCCAGAGGATTTGACTTGTTTTAGATGATCAGATCAAACCAGTTATTTTTGAATAATACCGAATCTGGGCTTGGAATATTTCTTTATTTGAGTGACTCAAGTTTGATTTAACAGCAAATCTAAATACGAACAAAAAGAAATAAAGAGAAATGACAAACAGTTTGATTTTATTATTATTATTATTATTATCATCGTCATCACTTTTATTATTTCGTTCTGTCTGAAGAACGGAAAAACGAAAATTAAGCTAGATTTTTCGTATTTTTTGTTCGTGGATAAAAAATGAGCTTATGCATTTGTGCGTGAGCGGCCCTGAAACGCCACTTTTCAACTCAGCGTGTCTTTACCGTCTGTCCCATCAAGCATCTGATGTACCGCTCTGCAAATTAGTCACAACGTTTCTTCATACTGTTTGGCTGTTGCATAGGCTATATTTCTTGCAAATATACATCTCATAAAGCGCAACACTGCACTTCTCGGGTCGGCGGCGCATGCGCAATTCCTTGCATTGTGCATTGTGGTAACAGAGAAACAACTTTGTTTTTCTTTATCGTCTGAGCTCCTTATCTGCCTTGTGTTCGCCTCACACCCACGATCAGCGCAGCCTATTCAGTAAAGCCTGGAATTTACCCCAGGCCCAAAAGAAGATTCGATGCGACGCGCGGCTTGATTCAGGTAAAGATAGCAACGTATAATCAATAATATATCATAATCAGACTAAAATAGGCCTATCTGATCTTTATGCCGCCCACGCATGTGAAAGAAATATTAAAGCATAGCCTAAGCTTATTTTTTACCCACGAACAAAAAAATACGAAAAATCAAGCTTAATTTCATTTTTCCGTTTCTCAAAGGAAACGAAATAATAATAATAATAATAATAGGCTAATAATAATAAAATCAAACCGTTTGTCATTTGTCTTTATTTCTTTTTGTTCGTATTTCGATTTGTCGTCACTCAAATAAATAAAATTAAAACACACACAGGTTTATAGCAGCAGAGAGAGTAAAAGTGCATGTGGGTGACGTAATACAATTGCATGTGTATGTCAGTGTTGCTATTGTTAGCTAAAACTTTTTTAAAGCTAACATAAAATAAAATTTATTAGATGAAAAACTTAAACTAAAATTAATGATGCTGCCTCGGCAGCAAAATATGTTACTTAAATAACTAAATTAAATAAGTACTAAACTAAAAAGAAACACATCAAAAGTCACTCAAATAAAGAAATATTGTCAAAAAATACGTAAAAAACGCGCGAAAATACGTCAATGACGCCGTATCTGACGGCGTTTTAGTGTGCATGAAAAGACATACCCCTTGTCCAAATACCCACACTTGCGGTCTTGGCCACTTGAGAGCGCGTGCGCGCGACAGGAAGTAAGTGCGCAAGACTGTCCCAGATCTTAAAGGGGTCATATGATGCGATTTCAAGTTTTCCTTTCTCTTTGGAGTGTTACAAGCTGATTGTGCATAGATAAGATCCCTGAAAAGCATGTCAACATATTCTGTTACACCAAATACACAAAATAATGATCTTTAAAAAAGCATCATATGACCCCTTTAAAAACGCCAGAGCGCAGTCCCCTTAACGCACACTAAACCCACACCAGAGCTGTAGAGAGAGAGAGTTGTGACAACTCCGTTCACTCCAATGGACCAGTTTTTTACAGCAATGGCGGATCGTGGAGCCGCTCAATAGTTCCCGGAAATTATCGCTCATACTATCAGCGCCGTAGAGATGCAGCAGAAGAGACCTCTGTGATGAACATTTGAAAGGTATGACATTAATAGAACAAAATTGTATATTATCAGCACAGCTAATCAAATTACCCTGTGCATTAAAACAGATGATTATTAGATTATTTTTTTAATTAGTATATTTAC